CGTGGAGCGGCTGGGCCCGTGAGCCATGGCCGCTGAGCCTGCGCATCCGGAGCCTGTGCTCCGCAACGGGAGAGGCCACAACAGTGAGAGGCCCGCGTACCGCAAAAAAAAAAAAAAAAAAAAAAAAAAAAATGGTCCTTGGACCATACTTAGGATCCTTCCATTGGGACTGTGCAGGGGATTTGCCGGACTCAGTGCAGTGACTTCTGATACCAACTGTGTGGAGTTGGGCCAAGCCTCCACAAGACTGCCCTCATTTCATACACTGGCTGAAAATTTGGGAGTCCCCAGTCCACCTTCACTTCTGGCCAACTGGCTACCAGTTTAAGTTCCCACTATCCTCTCAGGTTCAATAATTTGCTAGAATGAGTCACGGAACTCAGGGAAACACTATACCTAACTAAGGTTATAGTTTTATTACAGCAAAAGGATACAAATCAGACCCAGCCAAAAGAAGAGACGCAGAGGGTGAGGTCTGGGAGGGTCCCAGGCATGAAGCCTCCTCTGTCTTTTCTCCCTGGAGTCACAACATGTCGCTTCCCCAGCACCTTGATGTGTGACTACACACAGAGCATGCCAACCAGGACAGCTCATTGGAGCTTTGGTGTCCAGTTTTACTGGGGTGTCATTCAGTAGGCATAACTGATTGAATCCTTGGCCACTTGATTGACCTCATCCTCCAGCCCCCTCCCTGGAGGTCGGGCTGATATCACAACAGCTTAATGGTGTGACCAGTCCACCTTGAGTGGCCTCATTAGCATAAACTATTAGGTCCTGCCACAAATAGCAAAGATACTCCTATAACTTGGAAAATCCCAAGGATTTAGGGGCTACCTCCCAGGAACTGGTGACAAAGACCTGTCAAATTCTTTGTTCAAGGGGTTTGGAGGTTACCTCCCAAGAGCCAGGACAAAGATCAGACCTCTCTGGGTAAGTTAATTCTTTTTTTTTTTAATAGCTCTTTCTTTTTTCCCCCAGTTTTATTGAGATGTAACTGACATACAGCACTGTATGTTTAAGGTGTACAGCATAATGATTTATCTTATATATCGTGAAATGATTACCATAAGTTCAGTTAACATCCATCATCTCATACAGATACAAAAAAAAAAAGAAAACAATGTTTTTCCTTGTGATGAGAACTCTTAGGATTTACTCTCTCAACAACTTTCAAATACACCACACTGCAGTGTTAGCTACAGTCACCATGCTGTATGTTACATCCCCTGTTCTTATTTACAACTGGAAGTTTGTACCTTTTGACTGCCTTCATCCAGTTCCCCCTCCTTCCACCCCCCACCTTTGGTAACTGCAAATCTGATCCCTTTTTCTATGAGTTTTGTTTTTTTAGATTCATATGTGAGATTATACAGTATTTGTCTATCTGAGTTTTCACTTCAGGTTCTACGTTGTCACAAATGGCAGGATTTCCTTTTTTATGGCTGAATAATATTCCATTGCACATATACCACAAGTTTTTTATCCATTTATCCATGATGGACACTTAGGATGTTTCCATGTCTTGGCTATTGTAAATAATGCTGCTATGAACATGGGAGTGCAGATATCTCTTTGAGTTAGTGGTTTTGTTTCCTTTGGGTGTATTCCTGGAAGTGAAATTGCTGGTTTGTATGGTAGTTCTATCTTTTAATTTTTTGAGGAAGCTCCATAACTGTTCTCCACAGTGGCTGCACCAATCTACATTCCCACCAACAGTGCATGAGGGTCCCCTTTTCTCCACACCCTTGCCAACAGTCTTGTCTTTTTGATGATAGTTATCCTGGCAGGTGTGAGGGGATGGCTCACTGTGGTTTTGATTTCCATTTCCCTGATGATTAGTGATGTCGAGTACTTTTTCATGAATTTGTTGGCCATTTGTATATCGTCTTTGGAAAAATCTCTATACAAGTTCTTTGCCCATTTTAAAATTGGATTATTTGTGTTTTTTGCTGGGGTAAGTTTTTTCTTCGCTACGCAAATGGGGGGGAATTAATAAGAAAGGGCAGCCTTCCTTCCAGGATAACTAGAGACTTCAAATCCCTATTAACTATTACTTGGAGTAAAATGGTGCATAGTCCTTTTTTAAGGAAATGTTCAAGTTAAAACGGGAGTAGCCTTGCAAGTGCAGGCACATGGGACAAGAGTCTGGGGTGCAGAGCATACCTCTCAAAGCCTTGAGGTTTGAGGTGGAGCTGGAGAGGAGGAGAGGTCAGCAGAATCCCAGCATGCGTGGGAGGCAGTAGAAAAGCTATCTACGTGTTGAACAGTTGTTTTTTGAGCCTTTGCTGAGGGCCAAAGCCTGGGCTTGGGGTTCTGGGGCAAAGATGTGAGTCAGAAAAGGAATATAATTTGGGATCCATAGCTCAGAAGCAGAATACAACTTCTTTTTTGCTTTGTTTCAATGGTTGGATGAGGCCAGGGAAAAAAGGATAAACTCTCCAGACTGTCAGGAGTGACCAGAAGGTCCCCACCCTTCCTGCAGGGCGACACCATGGCAGCTGTGCATGTGGCTGGGTGTTCAGAGGCCAGGAAGGTGGGGGCCTGCGTGTCAGGGACGGCAGCCAGCACCCAGCCACATGAGGACAGAGGTGAAGGAGCCTCTCCCAGCCTGCGGGAGTCACGGGCCTGGATGGCGAAGCAGGTGGGGCGGCACTAAAGCGCAGAGGGAAGTTGAAGACTGCTGGGCCCTGGCTGGGTCAGTCAGAGACTCCCTGAGCCCTGCTTCTCTTCTGTCAGCTGAGCCAGACAACACCCAGCAGAGCCCTTTCCGACTCCTCATGGGCTTCTTCATGAAAAAAGTAATACTCCTCCAAGGGAGTGATACTTAGCAGAGATTGGAATAGGTCGGGGACTGGCGGGGGGGGGGGGTCAGTGCTAGGGCAGGGGGGCAGCAGTGGGAGGCCTAAAGGGGGGAGCTCCCCGAGGAACCAAAGAAAGCCAGTGGGCCTGGGAAGGGAACCAGTTAGAACACTGCGGCCGTCCTGTGAAGGAGGGAGCTGGTGTGGAAGGTAAGGCGGTCAGTGCTGTGGGTCTAGTGTTACTTAGCAGCAGTAGAGGGACCTGGAGTCAGTGGGACCTGGCGGTTCTGAATCCCAGCTCTGCCACTTACTTTCTTGGTGACTGGGAAAAGGGTGACCCTGTCCAGGCTTCTGTGTCAAATTAGGCTAATAATAGGGGTGTGGGAAGATGATCGGAGGTAATACATATAAAGTGTTTGGTGTGCCTGCCATGTAGGAAGCCCATAAATGCCAACTATCATTATCACCATTATCATTGTTATCATCATCATCATTATTATTAATAGCACTTAGAGTTGGCTGAATATGGGGGTGAGGAAGAGGACCCCAGGTTTGTGGCTTGGGGAACCGCCATTCACAGAGATGGCCTTTAAGGAGGGAAGGAGGTTGGTGGGGGTGGAGCATGAACTGAGGCGCCTGCAGCTCTGAGCTGAGGAGGGTCTGTGTTGTAGACAGAGGACGAGGGGAAGCCAAGGGAACAGTGTGGTCCTGGATGGGAGGGCGAGGGAAGAGAGGGAACAGGAAATGACTGCGGCACTGGAAACACAGAAGGAAGGAGAGGAGGCAGGCAGCCAAGAGCCTGAGAGGGAGCCCAGGCGTGAGCCTCCGAGGACAAGTGAGTGGTCAGCAGCGTCACATGTTCCTCGGGGTCCGGCGAGGTAGGGGCAGAAGGGCTTCTGCTGGATTTAGTGATGGGAGAAAGTCGGCGACATCACTGAGGTGGCTTCTGGTGCGCAGTAGGCTCACGAAATGGAAACAGTGGTGTAGATGCATTTCGGAAGGCCAGCTATGTTGGGGTGCTAGTTGCGAGTGGTGGGGTACCACACACGATCAATAGTTATTTTTTAAATGGGACATTCTTGAGCACAGGCTTCCTCAGCTCTGTAAATGGCAGCTCCATCCTTCAGGGTGCTCACACCATGGTGCAGCCCTCCTGTGCCCCACAGCCAATCTGCCGCCAAAGCCTCTGCCTTCAGACTGCAGCCCTGCTCGGAAGCAGGGCAGATGGGGCAGAGATGAGTTGCTAACTGTTGAAGTTGGGCAATGGATACCTGGGAGTTACTAAGACTTATATGGGTAGAAAAATTAAATATATGTTTAGTATTTATATTTATGTATTATATAATATACATATATTTACAATGATTATATATCATATATAATGTTGATGTAAATAATGTATACAAATAAGTGTATATTATGTAGATGACCCAGATATCTCCTGAATCTGACCACATCCCACCCTCCACTGCCACATCCACTGTCATTTCCCACCTGGGTTTCCACAGGAGCCTCCTGACTAGTCATTCCGCCCCATCCTTGTGTCCACAGTCTGCTCTTCACACAGCAGCCAGTGTCGCTCCATCACACCTAGAGCTGGAGCAAAGCCCAGTCCTGCCCGTCCTCTGCTCAGCCACACGAGTGCTTGCTATTGCTAAGACTTTGACACTCGCTGTCCCCTCTTCCTGGACATTTCCCTCTGTCGTGTGAACAGCTTTCTCCCTGCTCCTCCCATTTCATCCAGGTCTTGGTTCTATCCTGTCTCACCAGGGGGACTTCTCTGACCTCCTGTCACAACATGGCAGCAGCCTCTACCTGCCCCCGAGTGCTCCGTTGCCCTCTGCAGCGCTCACCGCCCCCTGCACACCCTGCATTCTCTTGTTTGTGCATCCTGCCCCCCCACTAGAGGTAATCTTGTTTTTTTCACCAGGTGTCCCCAACACCTAGAACAGTGTCTGGCACCTAATAAAGGCCTCAGGAGATCCTTGTTGTATGAATGCATGGAACTCCATTTCACAGAGGGGCAGCTGAGACTCTGCCTGAGTCACAACAGGGGAAGTCAAGGGGACAGCTGGGACTTGAAGCCAGGGTGGTTTGGACCCTGAAGTCCTTGCCCCAAGCCCCTGTAGAAGGCAGGGAGAATAGGATTCTGGGCATAGATGCAGGGAGGACCGCCGACACGGAGACGAGGGGACAAGGGAAGGAGGGAGCTGAGAAAGGCACGGCTGTGGACTCGGGCTTTGCCAAGCAGATGGTAAAGTAGCTTCTTATCCTGGAAGAGAGGGAAGCTGGCTGAGGAGTCTGCAGGAGCTGTCCATCTATCCGCAGGGCATCCATGTCTCTTCAGCTTCAGAGCTGGGCTGGCGGCCCACCCTCTCCCATCTCCTCCCCCTCTGATCCCCCTGTCCCCACCTCCAGGCAGGTCAGGCAAGGTAAAGACCCCCAAGAATGGAACGTCTTCTTCTCTCTTCAGAAACACAGCGATCTGATTGGCCCAAGGAGGTCCAACCCATGAGAGGAATAGTACAGGACCTCCTGTGTCCCAGGCCCCTACAAAGGCCCACCTCCTCTCCTGAGACAGCTGATCCCAGGGAGCAGTTAGACCTGAGATGAGGGGTCCTGGGCTTGTGCCTCCCAGGTGCGCTGCTGGCCCTTCCCAACCCCAGTCTTGATCAGCTCCCTCCAGCCTCACGGACCAGGCGTCAATTCCATGTTCTGTTGCTTTATTTTTTTTAATTAAATTTGTCTTTGTCCCCCAGTGGGAAATGAATGTATGCTCATTATTCATAGAAAATGTGGGAAGACAGTGATTAGAAGAAAGAGAAGACAATGAATGAGAAACTGCTTTTCTAGTGAGATGGCTCCTTCTGGCCTAGGCCCCTCTGGTCCACCAGAGGCCACCAGCTTGGGTCTATAGGGGTTGCCACAGCCAGCTCAGGCCTTCCCACCTTTGTGGGTTTCAGGAAGAGCCTTGGGCCCCACGCTTGTCCAAGTGATGCAGAGAGCGGAGCTGACGAGAGTTGCTATATTTAATTATGGCGTCTGCGTCACTTGCGACCACACAGCAGCATCTGCCCAGGCAGCACGTGGGCTGGGGGTGTTTCTGAACGACGCTTTGAGAGAATCACTTTCCACAAGAGAAGGCACTCAGGAGGGGAAGGGAGAGAGCGCAACAGAAAGTGAGGTTGTAAGTAGAAAACCGCTTCTGGGATTTCAAATGGCTTCGTCATGGGGCCCTCCCTTGCTGCTGAGAAATCAGTTGATCTGGGAAAGTTTGTTGCAAACCCTGTGCTCTGTTGCTTTTGGGTGGAGCCGAGAAATGAGTGAAGATAATGAGGCTTTGTGACTTTTATTTTTCAGAGTAGGAGTGGGCAACATGTGTGGGAGGGGTGATACAGCCACCAGTTCTGACACCGGCTTGGACCTCTGGAAAGGCTGGGTGCCTGGCCTGTGTGTCCCAGGCCAGGCTGCCCCGTCTGGACATGGTCAGCCTAGACTCGTCTGGGTCTTCTAAGACTCCCTTAGAGGGGAGTCAGCTCAAGGGAGGAGCAGGATTTGAGTTTGTTCAAACTGACCAGCTAAATTAAGATCATAAGCAGAAGGCACTGCCCCATTGATCGTAATGAAAAAGCGATAAGCTGATGCATTCGATAAACCCCAGCCTTCAAGCTGCTCGGTCACAAGGAAACAAGATGCAGGCCCTTGTCCTCCTGGGTCCTGAGCAGTTCAGACGACCAGCCTCAGAGAAACCCCTGAGGTGACTTGGAGTGTTTTCTGACACCTCATCTGAGCGGCAAACAGAGGTGTTTGGCGCCAAGTTCACTGGAAACCTGAGTGTGTGTCTCACTTCTCACTTGAGCCCCAGCCCCTCTTCCGGTGAAACCTCCTAGGCCTGGGGTTCCCGGTGTGCCAAGGGGCTCCCCACCCTGGGCCCCATGACCAGCATCTCCCTCCCACTCACCAAGCCTTCTGTTTCTTCCTGACGCCCCTTCTCCCTGGGCCCTGTTTGGGGTTTTCCTTGTGCATGAAAGAAGTGAGACCACATGGCTAGAGAAAACTTCCAGCATATACCCGGAGGGTCAGTCCCCAGGTGGTGATGTTCCCAGCCACAAGAGCTGACACATACCTTTTTTTTCCTCTCTCTTCCTTATCTCTCATTCCTGACTGGCCCCCTTTCCCACTGCCAGCAACAGCGGCTTGGTTCTGTGGCTCTGTGAGGTCTGTCATCCCTGGAAGGCCCCCAGCCCCCTCCGGCTCACTGCACACGCCCTCGTGACCACAGGCTGCTCTCTGGGGACAGTCTCGGGTGAGGCGGAGGCGCAGGCAAGGAGCTGCGGGTGGCTGAGGATGTGGTGCGCTGCAGACCCCTAGTGGTGGGGTCCAGGTGGCACTGTCGGCACTGTGCCCCTAGCAGCAGGGCCCTCCTGACTATGGCTTGGGAAATCCTAAGGGGTCCTCGCCCACGCCAACCTCAATTCCAGTCTTTGTTCTTGAGAAATTCACAGGGAATTTCACCGGAACCCTTTCCATCTTCCTTTTGGACAGACAGGCCAATGCCCTGCTTGGGCAGAGAGAACATGGGTCAAAGGTGATGTTACCAGAGAATGGATAGCTAAGTTTTGTGTTAAAGAAGAAGAAAAATCAATCTTCCATAAATATTCTTCTGACCTTAAAATCCTCGAATCTCTGGATGGAGGAGGATAGCGGAGATCTCACTCCTACCCTCACCCCTGACATTTGAGCTACCCACCCTCCCAGGGTAGAGCACCCTTTTCCAGACCCCACTGTTTAAAGACTTCTTTCTGCTGCTAAACTTTGAGTGCATGTGGTGTCTTGGTCACCACTAGCCCAGGCAGCTGGTGCACTGCAGGCCTCAGGCAGTCCTCAGCAAATGTAGTGGGACTTAACAGGTTCTGAGACCGTCACTTCCCACGCTGGACAGCGCATGGGACACTCAGCTCCTGTGCCTCCTCCCAGGTCTTCCCTCCCTGGGCTGAGCATCCCCAGATCCCTGCACAGTTGACTGTGGCTTCTTCCCTCACATCTGCCTGGGTGGAAATGAGGGGTTCACTCCATTTGAGAGTGGTCCCTGGAGCAGTCTGCTGCAGTCATCTGCACCCTGGACAGGTCCTGCCATGGCCTCCGCTGCCTGAATCACACACGGCATGAGCTCTCACTGCTCCTGAGTGGCTGCCTCCACTGACTTGTGAGCATTACTATAGATGTTCCCACAGGGCTCTGGGCTCCCCCAGGGAGGGTGCCTGCCTCCCACTCAGCATTTGAGGCTGGTCTCTGATGACCCGCCACCCATTGCAAGAGGCATCCAGTCCTTCCGAATATTCACAGTGTAAACCGTGGCTGATGGGTGTGCCCATTAGCTGTGGCTTGCTGAGGCTTGCTGCTCTCTGCCTTCCACGTGCTGGCCTTGACTGAAGGAGAAGCAAAAACACCTGCTTGGAAAGGAGCAGTCTGATCAGGGCCCTGTGACCTTGGCTCTCCACCCCAGTCACTCCACGGTCCAGGGGCCACAAGTCATTGGTGCGTCTTTGTTCACAGAGGTGGCGAGTGTGCACTCTCTTGTGATGAGAGGTGTCCAGACATTGAATGGGCTGTACCTAGAGAGCGAGTAGTGAGCTCCCCGTCAGGGGAGGTGCCCACACAGGCTGGTGACAGTATTACAAAGGTCGTGCATTCAGGCCAGATGGCATTTGGACAGAGGGAGGCAAGGTGGTTAAGTGTGTGAGCTTTGGAGTTGGAGTGAGTTTGGGGTTCAAATCCTGGCTTTGCTCCATACCAGCTGTGGGACCTTGGGCAAGCCACCTTCTCTTCCCTGAGCTTCATATGGGCGACACCAGCAGGTGTGTGGGTGGTGCCAGACACAGGCTGGCCACTCATCCAGGGCTGTGGTCATGAGACCACTTCTGAGTTCTCTACCTGCTCCAGACACCTCCCTTGAACCCCGACACCCTGGCCCATGCTTCTTCCACCTCCCTGCAGGTGGTGGTGGGGAACTCCTCCTGGCCAGGTCCCCTCTCCCCAGGCACTGGCTTGCTTTTTTTCAGCCCAGGTCTTGTACTTCACTCCCCCTCCGCTCCATCCTAGGCCCCCCTCCGACTGCCCTGCCTCCCAAACACTCCTCAGAGTCTTCAGAACACAGGCCCGCGCCCAAAGGCCAACATAAAAGGCAAACACCATCAGGTCTCTTGTCACCATCTTTATTTCTGGCTTCCAGCTTGACAAAGTCAATGAAACAACTTATCCAATGACCCCTCCCCACAATCCACACCATATGCAGTGTTCTAGGCTGCTCTCCTATATATTATTAACTCTTTGATAACATATTTTAATACTTAACTTTAAATACAAGGAAAAACAATAAATTACTCGGCTGAGGGCTGACTGCTGGCCGTCAGACAACAGTGGCTACTCTGGCCCTCTGACCTGTCCCCTGCCTCGGCCCCGGGACCCCAGTGAGGTAGCAGAAGTTTGCATACAGTACTTATTGCCAGGGATTCCTAATGCTCGCTGCTTTAGTGCTGGAGCCCCAAGTCTCCAGGCCCTTGGCTCCAAGTTCTGGCAGTAACAGTCCCTCCCTATCCCCAGTACAGAGAAAAACACTTGTTTAAATAACACACAATAATAAATAAGACCAAGAAGAAATGTGCCTGGGCTGCTCTCTGCCTCAGTTGCCCCGGTGTAAAGCAGGTGGCTCTTCCACTGGCTGTCTGACGAGGGTGGCACCCATTGTAACGCTAGTTTGTTCTGAGGAGGGGGAGGTCAAGTGGGGCAATGTCCATCCTTGTCCACCCAGCTCGGAGCCCGGAGCCCCGGGCACCAAGGCACAGGGCAGGTGGGATTGGCTGGGCTCAAGGCAGGCAGCACAGGCTCAGGTCTAAGCTAAGGAAACCTTACCCCCCTCCCTAACCCTCCTCCAGCCTCCCCAAGAAATTTCTGACATCTGAAAGAAAAATAAATCTGCAACTTAGATGGTCAGGGTCTGCCTCTGCAAATAATAATGCTAGCTCTTCATGCTTCAGCTGAATTTTCCATAGTGAAAAATGATCCTTGAATGTTTGAGCAGGTCTTTTAAGAAGTGGGCCACTTCAATTTTGGTGTCTCGGATGTGCTCGCTGGAAACCTGCTGCAGGGCAAAGAGGCCAGCATGTTAGTGGAACGCCAGAACCAGGACGATCAGCATCTACCAGGGGCTTTCCAGGGACCGGCTGGTTCAATCCCCACAAAAGCCCCCATGAGGTGAGTACTGTTATTACCCACATTTTACAGATGTGGAACTGAAGCTCAGGTAGGAGTCAGGAGCCCTCAGGCCACGACTTGGAAATCCCAAAGGCACGTCCCTGCTTCCACAGTGGGCCCACCCCTTTGTGGACACATGCCTCAGATGCTCAGCCAGCTTCCCCTGAAGCTCCCAGGGTGAGCCCAGGCCTGGCAGAAGTGGGTGCAGGGTTGGGGTGGGCAGCGGGGCCTTACCGCAGCTGAGGGCTTGTGAAGACAGAGTGCGTTCAGCATCCTCTGGGTCCTTTGGATGGCACTGCAGTTGGAGACGTTGATCAGGGCTTCCAGGGCTGAACAGTACTGTGGGGACAAAAACGCCGGGGGGTCAGGCAGCACATTCAGTGAGTTTGCAGGAGGGAGGGGGCTGGGAGGCCTGTGGAGGTGGGTCTGGGTGGTGGGGAGCCCAGATGATGAGGGGTGGAGATTGGATCTTGAAGCCTGCCTGGAACCGCCAGCCGTGTGAGCAAGGCTCAGAAAAGACAAGCAGAGGGCTGCAGCCTCAGCCACCTCCCCCCAGTGCCCAGGGGTCCTCACCATGTTGGCTGTCAGGTTGACACTCCACACCATGCTGCCATTGCACAGGGGTGCCTGAGGGAGCAGAGGACAGTGAGCTGAGTGCTGGCAGGGTCCCAGACCTGCCCAGCCAGCCCAGGCCAAGTCCCCACAGGCATTCCCATATAGCAGGGGCAGGCCTGGGACCTTCAGTGTTCCTGAGCTTCAGTTCCTGCTCTGCACAGCAGGGGAGACCCATTGTACAGGGTCTTGGAGCTGAGAGAGAAAAACTGAGTAACACAGCCAGTAAGGGACAAGCCTTGTGCAAAGCTTGCCATAGCCAGGGCAGGAGGACAGATGACACAGGCCAGTCAGGGGCCTGCAGGGAAGGTCCAGGGCAGTGTCGGGTGAGGGAGGGGGTGACCAGGCCAATCAGATGGGAGGCCGAGTGGGTCTAGTGTGTAAACAGCCCACCTTCTGAATTGGGGATACCGCAGTTCGGAGCATGGGCCCTCTGGTGTCGTCCAATACTGGTTTAATCTGACTTTCGTCAGTTAACCTCACTGACACTTAGTAAAATGGGGTATCGTACCTGTCTCTTAAGGTGGTTGGCAGCGATGAAATGAGATGTAAAGCCCCGGCAGTGGGCCTGGTACATTATTAGTGCTCAGAAAGTGTGGGTCGTCACCACTGGGGAGAGGAGCTGCCTCTACTGATGGATTCTTCCATAAGAATGGGCTTAACTAAGATGCTGTGAATAACGGCCCCATTATCACATTCAAAGCCAATTGGCAAATGCCAAATAGTTCTAGGAGGGTGCCAGCCCTTCTCTGGTCTCCTCTGTTCAGAAACGGCTGAGTAGGAGCTGGCCATGGCAGGCAGGGCCAGGCCAGGGGAGCAGGTCATCTCTGGGGGCTCTGCCACATTCCTTCTTGGGTCCGCCCATATTACTGCATCCCCCACCCCAACCTGGCTCCCCTCCCCCATGGCCAGGCTCATCTCCTAGTCCTTGGGGGCTTCTTCCTGACCTACAGGCATCTTAGGACCAGGCCCAGGCTTCATGGCCCAGTCCATGACCAGTACCCTTCCTGAGAGTCCCCCACCCCTGCACCCCCAGAGCTGGGACCTTGGCCAGCAGGCACTCACCTTCTGGTTCTGGGTGATATTGACCAGCTCTTCAATGAGCTCCTTGAGGGCTGTAGAGGGAGGCACAGGGCCCAGGGAGGCGAGGCCACCAAAGCAGGTGAGAGCAATGACCACAGTCAACCAGAGCGCCATGGAGCCTAGAGCCACAGGAAGCGTGAGAAGCAGTCGCACAGGCTGGCCTAAGCTGAGTATCTTGTGGCCTTGGCCTCTTGTGGCAGCTTTTATAGGCCCAAGTGGTGATGCCTCACACCCTGGTCTCCGCTTTGTCGGACACTATCTACAAACCACATCTTTACTCATCTTGATTTTACTTTGTGGAAAATCCAGCGTCACATAAAGGAAAGAATTTGATTTCTTGTAGACTTATTACTGAGAGGGTTCTGGGGCAGTTTCCAAGATCTGGATGAGCTTACTGGTGGGGTAGGTGAGAGGGCCCTGAGGGCAGCCTGCTGTCAACCGTGCCAGCTGGAAATCCAGCACTTTTGCCCATTGTCCACCCTAGGTGCCCACCCAGCTCCTGTCCTCAGATCCCTTTAGGTCACCAGAAATGCTGGGCAGACAGTGCCGTGACCACAGTCTATCAGATGTGGGAATCTGGGGGTTTTATTTTTTTCAGTGAACTGGTCTGTTACATTACCAAAAGAATACTTGCTCTGGGTACAAAATTCAAACAGGATAAAAGGAGAAGAGTGAAGTTCACTTCTTTTGGCCCACCTGATTCCCTGTTGGCCCCGCTCTGGGAAGGATCATGGAAGTGCAGATTCCCAGGTCTCTATTGAAAGGTCCAGTCAGACTCAGGGATCCTCCTGGGATCTTTCCTTTGAGAAGTTGTCTCAGCACGCGCAGCCTGGACACTGGGTGCCCCACCCAGCCTTCAGTGTGGGTCCGTCCTGCTGGGAGACCCTCGGTGGGTGGGGCCGGCAAGAGGTGGACCCAGCCTTAGCCCTGGAGACTAACTGTTCCCACTGCCACTTGGGACCTGGGGCGACACCTCTGCCCTCCGAGGCCTCAAGTTTCCCTTGCAGACTGAAGGCTGTGGAGTGTGACTCCTGGGCCTGCCCCCACTCCAGGGTCCCCTGTGGGCAGCCCACCCCCTGCAGGGACACTGGCATGTAGCCATTTCCCAGCTTTTCCAGAAGTCCTCCAGAAACCCATGCAACTGAGGCCACAGTATTTGCCTCTTGGGTGCTGATGTCAAGTCTCCCTCACCCACTTCCTCCCCTAAGCCAGTGCCTCCCCCTCTCGGCCCTCTCTGTCTGCTCAGGCTACCTCTCTGTCCAATGGCAATGGGGCTCAGCCTCCTCACAAGGGTCCTCCAAGGGACGCTGGGGCTGTCGCCCCTGCTTAGAGGCCTCCCGGCCTTGCCCACCCTCTCCTCTCACTGGTAACGTGATTCCCACCCTCTCTTCTCTCCCAGCCCCAAGTTTCCCAGCACAATTGCAGGCCCTAACGCTTGGAAGCTGGGCCCTGCCCCTCGTGGCTCCCCAGTGCCTGGAGCGCTGCTGCCTGCTTCTGTGACCTCAGTTTCCTTATCTGCAGAATAGGGTCAGTAGCATCTCCCGTGGGGGTCCCTGTGTTGGTGGAAGGAGTGGGGAACCACCGTGGGCTGCGTCAAGATGAGTGGAACGCCCCCCTCCCCCTCTAGGACCAGCAAAACCAAGCGGGGAGCGGTGGGCAGGTGCGCCCCCGCGCGTGGGAGAAGGCCCGAGGTTGTGGCGATGCCCTGGAGATAGGCGCCGCCTTATGTAATGGGAGATGGGGCTGATAAACGCGATCCGCGCAGGCCAGGCTCACTCCGTGGCCGAAGGCTTCGGCCGGGGAGGGAGGGAGGGGGGGAGGGAGGGGGGGGGGCGGGGGGGTAGGAGTGCAGACCCGCTTCTCGGAGAAGCGCCCACGCCCGCCCCCGGCCTGGGTCTGTGTGGGTCAGAGGCCGGGCGAGGGAGCTGCAAGGGCGGGAGCGAGCGGTCCGAGCGCCCGGCAGGGCCAGGGCGCCTGTGCGCACAAGCGAGGGGATGTCGCGTTCGTCCCCCGGGGCCGGGGATCCTGCGGCGACACGGCAGAGCTGCCCACCCCTCTTCCTGCGCTGTGCTCTGGACACCCGCTCTGGCCCTCAGCCCCGAACGAGCCCCCGCTGGCTAGTCAGCTGGACCATGATGCTTTTTTTTTTTTTTTCATCGAGGCTTGGTTCACATCCCGGATCATTGCAATCAACACAACTACAAAAGTGCTGCTCCGGGCACTTGACACACGTGGCTTGCATCTCTCCACCAGCCACGGCGTTGGGCCGCCCCATCCAGGTCTTGCAGGTGCAGAACCGGGCGCTCGGGGCGTATAGGAGCCTGCCCCGATGCGAGGCCAGGGAAGGGCGGGCTCGCGGGCCTCACCGCCTGGGTCTCAGCACAGATTGGACAGCTGGGGTTGGAACCGCCCTTCATTGGGGCCAGCCCGCCCTGCGGGAAGTTTTGGAAAACTTCCTTTTCCAATATTTTTCGGACTTTGGCTCTCCGTTGGAAAGAAGAGATACCCAATCAGTAGGAGTGTCAGGCAAGTTGTTTTAATAATGTAAAATTCCTAAGTAAATTTTCATTTTTATGAAAGTTATACGTGCATGTAATTTTTAAAAAATCAAATAATTCGAGGAGGTTTATTAAGAAAAACATCACTTTTGAGAATTCCTCCATTGGTCTTCACATCTCGTGAGTGAGGCACTGACTGCCCTACTTTGTTCCCTACAGTCTTTTTCGACATGTTTGCATAGCAAGCAACCTTGGACGAGACAGCATCTTCCTCTGAAGAAAAAAGGCAGGCAGACTTACTGTCCATTATTAGCAATTCAGGCTGTCTCAGCTCAGGCTTCTTCTCCTGTACTTACACTGTGTGTACAGGTACCATCTGGCTCTCTTGGCACCACTCTGTGAGAACTGGGGTTCAGGGAACCAAATAAAAGATAATACTGCTAGTGCTGTGTCTAACAATCTGTTCTTTGTCTCTGGTGCAGGAGTCTTGTGTCTTCTGCCAGCCTCCATGAAACTGTGGCAAGCTGACTGGTTAGCATGCAAGTGGGATAAAATCTCAGAGCCTTCAGTTGTTGACAAGCAGCTCCCCACCTCTACCCCCTTGGCCTCTTCTCCAGAGGAACCACGACCTTAACTGCTTCTTTTGGTATTTACCTCCTCCATGTTTCTGGATTTCTCGATTTTCAAATGTAGGCAGTATCTGTGGTTTACGATGAATATTTAATTCTTCTCCTCCTTGCTGTCCTTCTTCCACTGCATCTTTCCTTTTTTCTCATTCTACCAATATGCGTAGATCATAATTTGGGTTGGCCAAAAGCTTTGTTTATTGTTTACATAATTACGCTAATATATTCTCAGCTGAAACATATAGTTAACTAAGATTAATTTTCCCTCAAAACTTTTTTTCCTAATAATTGTCTTATTTTTTTCCACTTGCTTAATTTTTCTATGTTCCTCTGTGATTTAATCCTAAATTCTCAGCCACTTACATAAATCTCCTTTTAACAGATTTGGGTAAATCAGTTATTTTCACAATTTCATCTTCCCAAGAAAATCTCCCCTGGAGCCTGTTGACCTGCTCGGACATGGACAGCTGCCATCTGACAACTTCTGTACAGCTGTCGTGCTGAGGACTCCTGTCATCCTGCCATGGGAATTCCCTTCTCCTCTTTCCTATGTGGCTCTCCTATTACTTGCATCCTAGGTCTTCCTCTTTCTTGTGGGGAACACATCCAAATAAACACAGAATTTCAGGCAGGAAATAATTTTCCTTCAGAATTTTGAATACCTGTGCTATTGCCTCCTATCTTCCAGTATCTCCTATCTTCAGAAGTCCAAAGGCATTTTGTATCCAGATCTTTTCTAACTCTCTGGAAATCTGTAGGAAAATTTCTTGGTTCCCATGCCCCAAATTTTACAGTGATGTTTCTTGGTGTAGCTTTGTTTTCATCTATGATGCCAGACACAGTGGGCTCTTTCAAACAAACATGTCACTAAGTTCTGGGAAATTTTCTTTCTTTAAAAAAATTTTTTATTGAAATATAGCTGATTTACCATATTGTGTTAGTTTCAGATGTACAGCAAAGTGATTTGGTTGTATATGTAATCTTAAAAAAATTCTTTTCCATTATAAGTTATTTAAAGATATTGAATATAGTTCCCTGTGCTCTACAGTAAATCCTTGTTGTTTATCTAATTTATATATGGTAGTGTGTATCTGTTAATTCCATACTCCTAATTTATCCCTCTCCCTCCTTTCCCTTTGGTAACCATAAGTTTGTTTTCTATATCTGTGAGTCTGTTCCTGTTTTGTAAATAAGTTAATTTGTACTGTTTTTTAGATTCCACATTTAAGTGACGTCATAATATTTGTCTTTCTCTGACTTACTTCACTTAGTATGATAATCTCTAGGTCCATCCATGTTCTGCAAATGGCATTATTTCATCCTTTTTTATGGCTGAGTAGTATTCCATTGTATATATACACCACATCTTCTTTATCCATTCATCTGTCCATGGACATTTCAGTTGCTTCCATGTCTTAGCTATTGTAAATGGTGCTGCTATGAACATTGGGGTGAATGTATCTTTTCAAATTAGCTTTCGTCTTTTCTGGATATATGCCCAGGATTGGGATTGCTGGATCATATGATAACTCTATTTTTAGTTTTCCATAGTGGCTGTGCCAGTTTACATTCCCATCAGCAGTGTAGGAGGGTTCCCTTTTCTCCACACCCTCCCCAGCATTTATTATTTGTAGACTTTTTGATGATGGCCATTCTGATTAAAAAAAAAAAATTAAACCTCTGTTATTATTTTATTTAAAAAATTATTGTAAAGCCATTCCTTTTTTTAAAAAATAGATTTTTTTTAGATTCATAGCAAAATTGAGTAGAAAGTACAGAGAGTTTCCATATACTCCCTAACCCCACATATACATAATCAACCTCCCCCAACAGAGTGGTGCAATTGATGAGCCTACAGGAACACGTCAGTATCACCCAGAGTCCATAGTTTACCTTAGGATTCATTCTTTGTGTTGTACATTCTATGGGTTTTAACAAATGTGTAATGTCATATATCCATTGCCATATATATATATATATATGTGTGTGTGTATATATATATATATATATATATATATATAGAGAGAGAGAGAGAGAGAGAGAGAGAGAGAGAGAGAGAGGGAGAGAGAGAGAGAGTAGTTCCATTGCACTAAAAAATCCTCTGTGCTCCACCTATTATTCACCCTATCTTCACTCCTAACCTGTGGCTACCACTGATCTTTCTACTTTTTCCATAGTTGTGCCTTTTCCAGAATCATATAGTTGGAATCATACATTATGTAACCTTTTCAGATTGGCTTTTTTCACTTAGTAATATGCATTTATGTTTCTTCCATGTCTTTTCATGGCTTGACAGCTCATTTCTTTTTAGCATGGAATAATATCCTGTTGTCTGGGTGTACCAAGTTTATTTATCCAGTTATCTACAGAAGGATATCTTGGTTGCATCAAGTTTTGGCAGTTATGAGGAAAACTGCTATAGACATCCATGTGCAAATTTTTGTGTGGACGTAAGTTTTCAATTTGCATAAGTACCAAAGGATGCAAACACTGGATCATATGGTAAGAGTATGTTTAATTTTGTAGGAAACTGTCAAAGTGTCTTCCAAAGTGACTGTACCATTTTGCATTCCCACCGGCAGTGAATGAGAGTTCCTGTTGCTTCACATCTTCGTGAGAATTTGGTGTTTTCAGTGTTTTGGATTTTGACCAAATGGGTATGTAATGGTATCTCACTGTTATTTTAATTTACATTTTCCTGATGATATATGGTGTGGAGTAGCTTTTCATATGCTTACTTGCTGTCTGTGTATTTTCTTGGGTGAGGTGTCTGTTAAGGTCATTGACCTCTTTTTAAAATTGGGCTGTTCGGGCTTCCCTGGTGGCGCAGTGGTTGAGAGTCCGCCTGCCGATGCAGGGGACATGGGTTCGTGCCCCGGTCCGGGAAGATCCCACATGCCGCGGAGCAGCTGGGCCCGTGAGCCATGGCCGCTGAGCCTGCGCGTCCGGAGCCTGTGCTCCGCAACGGGAGAGGCCACAACAGTGAGAGGCCTGCGTATCGCAAAAAAAAAAAAAATTGGGCTGTTCATTTGCTTATTGTTGAGTTTTAAGTATATATTGGATGACAGTCCTTTATCTCATGTCTTTTACAGATATTTTCTCCCAGTCTCTGGCTTGTCTTCATTCTCTTGAGAGTATTTTTTGCAAAGAAGAAATTTTTTATTTTCATGAAATCCAGTTTATCAATTATTTGTTTCATGGATCATACCTCTGCATGCCTCTGGTGTTGCATGTAAAAAGTCATCACCAAACCCAAAGTCATCTACATTTTCTCCTATGCTATCTTCTAGAAGTTTTATAAGTTTGTGTTTTACATTCAGGTCTGTGATTCATATATATATATATATAATTTTATTTTTTATTTATTTTTTAAAATTTTATTTATTTTTGGTTGCGTTGGGTCTTCGTTGCTGTGCGGGCTTTCTCTAGTTGCAGAGAGCGGGGGCTACTCTTGTTGTGGAGCACGGGCCCTAGGCGCATGGGCTTCAGTAGTTGTGGCACGTGGGCTCAGTAGTTGTGGCTCATGGGCTCTAGAGCACAGGCTCAGTAGTTGTGGTGCACAGGCTTAGTTGCTCTGCCATGGCATGTGGGATCTTCCCAGACCAGGGATTGAACCAGTCCCCTGCATTGGCAGGCAGATTTTTAACCACTGTGCCACCAGGGAAGCCCTATTTATTTATTTTTTGCCAGCGGGTGTCCAGTTCCTGCGTTTTTTGTTGAAAAGATTATCTTTGTTCCACTGTATTCCCTTTGCTCCTCTGCCAAAGATCAGTTGACTATATTTATATGGGTCTATTTATGGGCTCTCTGTTCTATTCCATTGATCTATTTGTCTATTCTTTTACTAATACCACACTGTCCTGATTATTGTAGCCTTATAATAAGTCCTGATGTTGGGTAGTGTCAGTCCACCAACTTTGTTCTTCTCCTTCAATATTCTGGATCTTTTGCCTCTCCATATAAACTTTATAATCTTGTTAATATCTTCAAAATAACTTGTTGGGATATTGATTGGGATTGCTTGAATCCATAGACCAAGTTGGGAAGAACTGACATGTTGACAGTATTGATTCTTCCTATCCATGAACATGGATCATCTCTCCGTTTACTTAGTTCTTTGATTTCTCTCATCAGAATTTTGTAGTTTTCCTCATATAGATCTCATATGTATTTTGTTAGATTTATACCTAAGTATTTCATTTTGGGGGTACTACTGTAAACAGTATTTCAAATTCCACTTGTTCATTGCTGGTATATAGGAAAGTGATCGACTTTTGTGTATGAAACTTATATCCTGCAACCCTGCTATAATCACTTATTAGTTTCAGGAGTTTCTGTTGATCCTTTTGGATTTTATACTTAGGCTCTCATGTCATCAACAAGGTTTTCTTTCTTTCTTCCTAATCTGTATTCTTTTTATTTCCTTTTCTTGTCTTGTTGCATTAGCTAGGACTTCTAGTATGACATTGAAAAGCAGTGGTGATTGGAGATATCCTTGCCTTGTTTCTGATCTTCGTGGGAAAGCTTCAAGTTTCTCACCATGATGTATGATGTTAACTATAGGTTTTTGTAGATATTCTTTATCAAATTGAGGAAGTTTCCCTCTATTCTTAGTTTACTGAGAGGTTTTATCATGAATGGGTGATGGATTTTATAAAATGCTTTTTCTGTATCTATTAATATGATCATGTGATTCTTCTTCTTTAGCCTGTTGATGTGATGGATTATATTAATTGATTTTTGAATATGAAGCAGCCTGGCATATCTGGGATAAATCCCACTAGGTGGTGCTGTATAATTCTTTGGCTACATTTTTGCGTTCAGTTTGCTAATATTTTGTTGAGGATTTTTGCATTTTATCGCAGATATTGATCGGTACTTTTTTTTCTTGTAATATCTGTGTCTGTTTCGTTATTAGGGTAATGCTGGCCTCATAGGATGAGTTAGGAAGTATTTTCTCTAGTTCCATGTTCTGGAAGATATTGTAGAGAATTTATTTAATTTCTTTCTTAAACATTTTGTCGAATTCCCCATGAATTCTGGGCCTGGTGCTTTCTATTTTGGAAGGTTATTAAGTATTATTCAATTTCTTTGATAGATATAGGCCTATTCAGATTGCCTGTTTCTTCTTGTGTGAGTTTTGGCAGATTGTATCTTTCAAGCAATTGGTCCATTTTCATCTAGGTTATCAAATGTGTGGCCATAGGGTCGTTCGGATTTTAGTATATGTGCTGCCAAAGCGAGCACTGTAGGGTTGTTCATATTGTTCCTTTATTATCCTTTTAATGTCCATAGGATCTATAGTGATGTTGCTCTTTCATTTATGTTATTAGTAATTTGAGTCCTCTCTTTTTCCTTAGTTCACCTGGCTAGAGGCTTATTGATTTTATTGATCTTTTCAAAGAACCAGCTTTTGATTTTGTTGATTTTCTCTATTGATTTCCTGTTTTCAATTGCATAGATTTCTGTTCTAATTCTTATTATTTCTTTTCTTCTGCTTACTTTGGATTTAATTTGCTCTTCTTTTTCTAATTTCCTAAGGTAGAAGCTTAGATGATTGATTTTAGATCTTTCTTCTTTTCTACTGTATGTTTTCATTGCTATAAATATTCTTCTAAGCACTGCTTTCACTACATCCCACAAAATTTGATGTTATGTTTTCATATCCATTTACTTCATGATATTGTTCAATTTCTCATGAGATTTCTTCTTTAACCATAAGTTATTTAGACATATTTTGTTTAATCTCCATATAGTTGGGGGGGCGTGTTCCAGCTTTCTTTCTGTTATTGATTTCTAGTTTAATTTCCTTGTGGTATGACAGCAGGCATTGGTGTCTTGGTGTTCTTGGTGAACTTTTTGTGCGAGCTTG